GAGTCCCTTTGCCCACATTGTCCAAACTATGTGGCTAAACCAGACACAAGGGCACATGCCCTTGATCCTGGCTACTGCAGAGGCTGAGGCAAGAGAATCATCGCGAATTTAAGGCCAGCCTGGGCAACTTGGCACGAACCTATTTGGGAATAAAAATTAAAAAGGTCTGGCCGCACAGCTCCAGATCAAAGGCCTGGGTTCCAACCCGAGTACTAGATACAAACTTGACCTGGGACCTCTGAGGGCGACCTGACTGGAAGCCCTGTCCCCACCCCCCACAACACAGAGGCAGGGACACAGCCACCAACCTTCTCACGTCTTTATTTGAAAGGCACAGCTAGCCCACCCTCCGTACACCACCTTCCCCTCTCCCGAGATCAAAGACAAGACTGACTACGTAGACACAGCTGGGGCGGGGGACTTAAATTTTTTCCCTTTTTATATAGCTCCTTTCTTAGAAGACAGGCTAGTGTTACAGGAAAAAAGAAAAACCAAAATATAATAAAACAAAAACCAAGACAACTTTAGTACCCTCATCTTTATTTGGGAAGGGGAGAAGGAAATCCCTGGGGCACTGCCCCCACCCTGCTGGTCCCAGCTAGACTCACTTCCCTCCTTCAGTACTGGGGATCGAACCCAGAGCCTCTGGGCTGAGCTCCATCCCCAGCCCTTGTGTAGTTCCTATTTTGAGACAGGCTCTCATTTAAGTCACTAGGTTGCCCGAGGTTGGGCTGGACTTTGAGAGCCTCCTGCCTCAGCCTCCCAGAGGGCTGGGACAACAGGCGTGCGCCACCACGCCCAGCTCTGACCCCTTCTTCCGTGGGTGAGGGCAGAGGGCAGGTGGGCTGGGGGAGACTCCGGCTACTGGAGCAGGTGTGGGGAGCAGAGGTGGTCCCAGGGTGGGGTCAGAGTCAGGGTGCCCAGGCGGGGGAGGGGCTGGTAGCATTGAGTACATGCAGTGCCAGGGTGGGCGCTGTAGCTTCGTCCCGAGGGCCCACTTGGGGGCAGACTGTCTGATGTGTGCGACGGGGGTGCGTGGGGTGCTGGGGTCCTAGAGGTTTTGCTCTGCTCCCCGTGGGGCGGGGGCGGGTCCCGACGCCGGCCAGCCCTCAGCTTGCCTCGAGGCGGGGGAGGGGGGGGAGTGGGGGAGCTGGGGATGGCTGGGGGGACCTAGGGGGTGGCTAGCAAGCAGCCGGCGGCGGCGGTGACCATAAATACTACCAGTGTCGCCAATCCCGAGCTAAGCTGTCTGGCGCTCTGCGTTCCTGTCTCTCTGTGCCTCAGTTTCCCCTCCCCACCCGCCCTGTTCCCGGCCGCCCCAGCCGCCGGCTAATCGGACTTCTCGCCGTCATCCTCCTGGTGGGTGTCCCCATCGTGTCCGTTCTTGTCTTCCTTGGACAGGTGAGCCTGGGAGCCCAGCGCCGACAGCGACAGCAGCCCGGTGCCCGCGCTCACGGCCGGCAGCGACGGCGGCTGCAGCCCCACGGGCAGGGGCGTCAGGGGCAGCGCCAGCGCCTGCAGCTGCGACAGCTGGTGAGCCTGGAGCTGCTGCTGCGGGGCACAGGAAGGGGCGTCACAGGCCCCGCCCGGCCTCGGGTGTACGTCCCGCCCCCTCCTGCCTGCCCCGCCCCCTCACCTACCCGGATGATGGAGTTCAGCTCCGGGGCGGTGACCTGCTTGGCCCTCTCGATGGCCCCCAGGACCTGCTGCTGGTGCTGAGTAGGGTGGCAACAAAGAGGAGTCAGGGAATGTGACCCCCATCCTGGGGTTGGGGTGAGGCAAGGGGAGGGCAGGGAGCCCCCCAGAGAACCCTGCCCCACGAATACCCCTCCCTCCTCGTCCCCTGCAGTAGCTACAGGCCCCTCAACCCTGCCACTTCGTGTCCCCAAACTACAGTCTCAGCATCAGGCGAAAACGGGGACAAATAGAGACGCACTGAGAACTCAAAAGAGGTCAGAGCCAGACAACTGACAAGAGAAGGCCTTTGAAGTGTGCAAGGAACCTGGGTCACGATCAAAGCCATCTGCACAGCAGTGAAAGATGGAGGTCTTTGTGCAGTGCCCAACCTGTCCAGCTGTACCAGGAAGTCTTTTTTTTCCTCCTGAGCTAAACTGCAGCACTTTTTTTTTGTCTTTTTTTTTTTTTTTTTTTTTTGAGACAAGGTCTTGCTATGCAGTTCAGGCTGGGCTTGAGCTCACTTTGGAGCCCAGGCTGGTCTCGAACTGGCAACGATCCTCCTGCCTCAGCCTCCCAGAGTGCTGGGATTACAGGCATGTGCCACCACGCCTGGCTGCAGCACTTTTAATTTACTTTTTTGGGGGCTTTTTTTCCTGGTACCAGGAATCGAACTCACGAACTCGCACTTGCCAGACAGGCGCTGTGCCACTGAACTTAAATCCCCAGCTCCTCAATTTACTTTTGAAACAAGTTCTTGCTAACTTGCCAAAGCTGTGCTTAAACTCATGATCCTCCTGTCTCAGCCTCCCAAGTAGCTGTGAAGACAGGCATGCCCCACCGTGTCTGCCCAGCTTGTTCAAGGAAGCCCTGACCCTAAATGCTCACAACTGCCAATCTAAGCCCCTCTCCTCCCATGGGTGGGAAGACTTCCTGAAGTGCTGAGGTATGAATCTAGGTTTAGGGATTCCCCACCCCCCACCCCGACACAGTCCTGCCTGGAAGTCTGTCTCTGCTGCCATGAAATACTGCTGTGATCCACCAATTTCCCTTTTTGTCTTGTCTACCAGGGACCCACTGCTATGAAAGGAAAGGCTAAGTCTAGATGTGAAGGGCTCCAGGTGTCCTCTATTATCTGGAGCTGTCCCTGTGTCCTTTCAGAACTCGCCCTGGGTAATCACCAAGACAGGCAAGGCTGAAAGCGGAAATGGGCCGCACAGTGGCAGATGACTGATCCCAGCTACCCTGGAGGCTGAGGCAGGAGGACCTCAAGTTCAAGACTAACCTGGGCCATTTAGCAAGACCTTGTCTGACAACACAAAAAAGGCAGGGGATGTAGCTCAGTGCAAAGGCCCACATCCATCCCCAGTGCCAGGGCTGGGGTGGAATCCTGCTGCCATCTGGTGGTTGTGAAATCCCTGGGGGCCTCTCCAGGCCAGGTGCCCCTGGGGCCCCGGGGCAGGAAGTCCAAGGCCCGCCTGGCGCTCACCTCCTGGGAGAGGTAGGGCAGGACCTGGGCACAGATGCCATTCAGCCTCTTGACGATCTCCGCCTGCAGCAAGAGTGACAGTAAGGGGACTGGGTAGGGACAGCGAGGCCCCGCGGGGTTGAGGGTGAAGGCAGGGGACTCTGGTGCTCCCTGTTAGCCAGGTCAGCAAAGAGGCAAATGCCAAGGCCAGAGGGCAAGGGAGGGTCTCCTGGGGGTCACCTGGCCCAAGGATAAACTGTCACCCTCCCCAGTGCAGAAGAATGGAACACCTTCAGCTCCGGGAGGAAAAAACTCCCAGGGCAGCCAGAAAAAGGGGTTTGGACAGAGAGTGGTACAGTGGCTCACAACTTCCATCCCAGCACTGTGGGAGGCTGAGGCAGGAGGATCTCAAGTTTCAGCCCAGCCTAGGCAATTTAGCCACAGGGCAAGACCCTCCTGTCTCCAAATGAAAACTACAAAGCACTGGGGCTGGAGCTCCTGGCCAAGGCCCCAGGTTCCACCTCCTGCACTGTAAGATTAAAAAGAGGCGGCACAGGCCCAGGGGCAAGGGCGCAGAAGGGTCCCTACCTGTTTGTGCATCTCGATGTTCAGGCCGTAGGACATCTCGTAGTACTGTGAGGGGGGAGAGGAGATGGGGCAGGACGCCGTCAAGGCCCAGACAAAGGAAGCGCAGGCTGGCAGGCAGGTGGGAGACGCCCGCACCCAGGTGGGGGCAGGGACGGGCGCCGCCCCTCCCCCACGCATTCCAGGCTTCAACCTTTCATCTTTCCTCGTCCTGTCTGCGGGTGGCCTGGGCTCCAGGGAAGGCAGCCTCCCCGGTATAAATCATCCAGGGTAAACAAAGCCTGCTGGGTCGGCTTCTGGGGCCAGGACTGCCTTCTCTAGTCAAGCCCCAGATCTGACCCTGCCCCTCCTCTACGCTAAGCCTTCCCTTGGCTCCCTACTGAAGAAAGCCAAGTTTGTGGGTTTGGCTGGTCGTTGCTTAACTCCCCTATCTCTGTCCAAAGGGCTCCTATGCGTTCTTCAGGGCCCCAGCTGCTGTGTCCCACGCAGCCCCCTTTAGTGCCGTTTCAGCAACTGGCCTCGCCTGTCCTGCAGCCTGGGAGGGGTCTGAGACCCTGCTGGCCTGGAGGCTACATGGGTGGGGCCCAAGAGAGTTTGTTCCAGCAGTGTGGACAGACGGGGTTGGAGGCGGCAGGCCAGAGAACTCCGGCCTCGGCACAGAGGGGCTCACGGCGCACCGCGGGGCGGGGGCACAGATGCCCGCCTCAGTTCCTGGTGCCGCCTCCTCCCGCAGCTGCCAAGGGCAGCCGGCACCCGGCGGGGGTGGGGGTTGGCACCCTGGCTACCACAGGGCGGGCAGCCAGGCCAGCAGGGCCGAGGGCAGAGCAGGTCCTCGCCCTGCCCGGGGCTCGACGCCGTCCCCACCAGAGCCAGGCCCTCACCATGACGTAGTGACGCTGCATCTCGGACTTCTCGCTGGCCAGCTTGTCACATTCCAGCTTCAGGCTGAGGGCAGAGGAGGACAGAGAAACTTGGTTGCCGAGGGCCCCCGGCCCTTGTCCCCCTGCGTCCGCAGCAAGGACGCGCTGAGGGGGGCTGAACTGCGGAACACAGTGGGGTTCTCTCTGGAGGGGGGTGGGTGTGGGGGGAAGGGCCTCAGTTTCCTTAACTGTATGACGGAAGAATACGAAGGCAGCTTTGCAGATCTGATAGCAGAAAAGCACCAGAAATAACAAAAACCATTGGGTTTGGTGGTTGGGAGGCTGAGGCAGGAGAATCTCAAGTTTGAGTCCAGGCTGAGCAGCATTTGTGAGGCTCTGTCTTAAAGTAAAAAAAATCAGGGAGCCGGGTGTGTGGTGCACACCTGTAATCCCAGCACTTGGGAGGCTGAGGCAGGAGGATCGTTTTGAGTTCAAGGCCAGCCTGGGCTACAAGGTGAGCTCAAGTTCAGCCTGAACTGCATAGCAAGACCCTGTCTCAAAAAGACAAAAAAGAAAAAAAAAAGCAAAAAAATACAATCAGGGGTGTGGAGCTCAGCATGAAGGCCCTGAGTTGCAACCCCAGTCCGAGGGGAAAAAAAAAAAAAAAAAGATGCAAGTCAGAGGAGGAGCTCTCAGAGACTCCGTGAGGTCAGCGGGATCTCACTGCCCAAATGTTTCTCAAGTGACTCAGGGCACACCAGAGAGGGTGAAGAACGTCTCGAGGTCACACAGCGGGAAACAGCACAGCTCCCAGCACAGGCCAGAGGCGGCTGAGGAACCAGGCCGCGGAGTGCAGCGCAGGGGTGGGCACCCCCCCCAAGGGCTCCAGGGGCCCCAGGGGAATGTGGAGGAGGCTGGTGCTACAGCATACTTGCACTCCCTGGGGCAGGGGTGACCTGACCCAGCTTCTTTCAGCAGTCCCAGTGAGGACAGTGTGGGGGGGATGCTTCTCAGAAGACCCCAGGAGGCCCATAGGGCGGTGGGAATTTAAGGCTTTGTCCTTCGAGCCAGGCATGGTGGTGCACACCTGTTATCCCAGCACTGTGAGGCTGAGGCAGGAGGGTTGCAAATTCCAGGCTGGCCTGGGCTACTTATTTTTCAAAATAAAAAACAGATGAGGACCGAGGATGGAGTTCAGTGCAAAGGCTCTGGGTTCTTCTCGGTCCCACCTCAAAGAAAATAAAAGCCTTTGTCCTTTGAGCGTTTTGATCAGATCACACAGGCGTCTCCTCATCTCCACCAGCTGGGTTAATGGCTCCCTTGCTATCTTTTTTTCCACATGGTACCAGGCATCCAACCCAGAGTACTGAGCTACAGCCCCAGCCCGATTTTTTTTTTTTTACTCTTAGACATGATCTTGCTTAATAGTCTACACTGAACTTGAACTTGGGGATCCTCCTGCCTCAGCCTCCCAGAGTGCTAAGATTACAGAGTGTGCTGCCACACTTGTCTCCCCAGCCCATTATTTCTTTTTTTGTTTGAGACAGGGTCCAGCTACGTAGTATAGGCCAGACTTGAACTCATTATGTAACCCATGCTGGCCTTGAACTCTCAGTGACCTTCCTGCTTCAGCCTCTCAAGTGCAGGGGTGACAGCTGTGCATCCCCCTCATTTCTATGCTGTGTGACTCTAGACAGGTTCCTCAACCTCTCTGGGCCCCAGTTTCCTTTGTTAAGTACCAGCCTCCCAGAGTAGGTGGTAAGGGTTAGTTAAATAAACTGAGGATAAAAGAAGTTCTTAAACAGTGCTTCACCCCCACACCAAAAAAAGCGCCAGGAGTGGTGGCACATACCAGTAATCCCAGCACTTATGAGTCTGAGGCAGGAGGATGACTGTGAGTTTGAGGCCAGCCTGGAGAACATACGCAGACTCTGCCTCAAAATACGAAAAGCAAAGAAAAAAACAAAAAAAACCAGTGCCTCACATACAGAATGCACTCAGTGAATGCTCCTGGGCTTGTCTGTAGCCCAAGAACCTGGTATTTCTCTCTGCCTCGGCCTCCCAGAGGTCTGGAATAACAGGCCGCTAGGCCTGGCTTGAAAATAAACATATCAGGCCTGGAATATAGCTCAGTAGCGCAGTACCTGCTTGGCAAGTGCAAGGTTCTGAGTTCAATTCCCACCATTAAAAAAAAAAAATTAAAAAATTAAAATGTGCATTTGTTGCTGCCATTAAAAAAGTAGAAGAAAGGCCAAGGATGTAGCTCAGTGCAGTGCCTGCCTGGCAAGCCCGAGGTCCTGAGTTCCATTCTTGTTATAAAAAGAAAAGTGAAAGAAGGAAGCTGGAGTGGTGTGTTCTGCCTAGCACCTTGTTCTAGCAGCTCAGGAGGCGGAGGCAGGAGGCTGCTAAGTATGAGCCCAGCCTGGGCAACTTAGTAAGACCCTGTCTCGGAATAAAAGACAGGTGTGGTTCAGAGGTAGAGAGCTGGATTTCTGGCCTGTTAATTTCTAGCTGGTTCTGAGCGCATCCCCAACACTTAGGACTAATATTCTGCACAGTGAAAGCCCCCAAAGTCAGTAGATGGAGACCCCAAAACTCAGAGAGGGTGTCTGGTCTCCAGGAGGTCATACAGCCCTGTGGCACAACCTGACTTTGGCCTCTGCAGTTGGTCGGTCCTGGGGCTCAATGGGAGGTGAGCAGGACCCAGCAAGCCTGCCAGGCAAAGCCCCTAATCTGCACACCATGGAGCAGAACCAAGCAGTGCCTCAGTTTCCTCCTCTTTAAAATGGGCACAGAATAAGGCAATTGACCAAGAGTAGCAGCACATGTCTGCCATGGGAGCTACTCCGGAGGCTGAGGCAGGAGAACTCAAGTTCGAATTCAGCTCCCTGAACAACTCAAGACTTAACAACTCAGACTTAACAAGACCCTGTCTGAGAATAACAAATAATAAAAACTGGGGTTCGGCTCAGCATGGAGTGCTTGCCTAGCACTGGAAGGGTCCTGGGTTCATCCCCAGAACAGAATAAAAATAAAAAATAAAAAATAAAAAGCGGCCAACAGGAAGGAAGCACAAGGATGTATACTCAATTCTTCGCCCTTGGAAAACACCCAAAAAATTAGATATTTGCACAAAGAGAGAAACGTTCTCCTCTCTCTTCTTGGCAAAAACCCCGGATCCTCTGAGAGTATTTCTCAGGTTCCTACGTAAACCCACTCCACAGGGCCTGAGGCCACACTAACACTAGCGGCCCTGGCCTCCCCACCACGGACGGCCCGGAACTCGAGCTGTGTGGCCTGGAGATCCGACGTCACCCTGCCACTCGGCCGCTGTGCATCCCAGCAAATCCTAACCTCTCTGGGCTGAAGGACAATCACGGATCCCATCCCCGAGACGCTGCACACAGCAAGGCCTTAAAAAACCCGGCAGAAGCACAGCAGCGCCTCGTATCCCGGGCGCAGGCTATTTACCTCCCAGGCAGTGGGATGGTGGGGGGCCTTGCCCTGACCCCGGACCTTAGGACGGCTTTTCCGCTATGGACACTGGAGAGCGAGGGTGAGAGGGCTCTGAGGTCTCCCAGGCCTGGTCTTTGAGCAAATTCACCTTGCCGCGCCTCAGTTTCCTCGTCTGTGAGATGGGGCTGCTTTGGGAAGCCCCGGGCTGCACACCAAGCCACTCTCCCTGTGTGTGCCAGCGCGTGCACGGGGAGGGGGTCCTCGAGCCCCTCTCACCTGTGGTACTGCGCCTGCAGGAGCTGGAACTCGTCTTTGATGCGGTCGCAGGAGTCCGAGGTGGTAAACTTGAGCTGCTGGGGGAGGTGCGAGGAGCCCTGCGTGCGGGGAGGGGGCGGTGGGGGTCACGCACTGCCCTCCCCGCTGGGCCCGCCCTGCGCAGCTGCGGCGACGCCCCCCTGCTGGCGCCCCACTTCCTGGGCCCTGTTTACAGCCCCCCACCCCGCTTCCTGCCCCCGCCAGTCCAGGAACCCAGGGTGGGGGCGGCGCGCAGGGCTCCTCCTCCGCTGCGCCCCCCCCAGGCCGTGGGGTGCGCTTTAAGGCCGTTCGGGGGGGGGGGCAGGGTGCGCCCTCTACCGAAGCGCTTTGGGTGCATGTGGGCAGCGCCCTAGTTGCCCCTGGTGGGGGTCAGAGGAGCCCCCTCCACAGCTGGGGGAGAATCCAGGCCTTCCCGCAGTCCTCTTGGAGGAGGGGCCTCGCTCAGCTCCCAAAATGTTCTGGGGGGCACCCCTGATTTCCGCACCCTTCTTCCTTCCGGGAGGGGTGCTCCTCGGATCGGTCCCCCACCTCGCTACCGCAGGCCCCCTCAGCAGCCTCGCGCTGGAGGTGCCTGGCGGGGAGCCCGGAGCGCCCCAGGCCCTCGGCCAAGGCCGCCCGAGGCCCAGCCCGGCTTGGTGGGGGGCGCCCGGCGGGAGCGGGGGAGGCACTAGCTCTGAAAGCTGGGGGGGCCCTGGGGACAGGAAGGGGTGTCCGGGAGCTGGAAACGGAGGTGGGGGTTCGCGTTGGGCCCGAGCTGAAGGGC